GATTGTATGCATGGAACGAGCAGAAACTGTGCAGTTCCTGTGAATATGATGGTGTATTTTGAAAAAGACAAAATGCATGTAACAGGCATAAACTGACACAGCATCCCTGAATGTTAACAGACGTAGGAGGATTCCTAGCACATCATATGTGAAGGGTCCAATGACCAAACAGCAGTATTTGATGAGTTGGAAGTGAGAATGTTCTGTTTTGTGCTAACTGGCAGATTTTAGCTTGCTTATATGGTAAATTAAGACGGTAAACATGATAAAACTGATGTGCCTTGGTACAGCATCACAAAGCTGCTGGCATGATGGTTGACTCTTAGGGCCCCATTAGGACTTGGTAAATGGACTTGCACTTTTATAATGCCTTTCTAGTCTGTTGACCACTCAAAGTGCTTTCACACTACATGTATTCACCCATTCACACACACAAACATACATTGGTGGCCAAAGCTACCAAACAAGGTGCCACCTGCTACTCAGTTAAACATTCACATGCACTCACACACCGATGGCACAGCCATTTGAAGCAATTTGGGGTTCACTATCTTGCCCGAGGACACTTAGACATGCAGATTGGAGGAGCTGCATGTCTTCCACAGCCGCCCCTCCACTAACGATCTATGTCTAAAGTGTATGGCGCAAGTGCATTTAGGATGTGTCCAATACCTCTTTGCTAGTTACATGACATGTAATTTGGATGCAAAGTAAGGGTCTACGGGCACAGGGGTTGAATGTAGTCCCTTAATAAATCATAGTTGTGTATTCAACCAGTCAAACTGTCATTTCCCATTGCCTTTAAAAGCCAGGTGCGCTATTTTCATGGGGAATCCAGCAAATTGGAGAAGCGAGTGGATTTCTGCATCTTTTCTGAGGAATGCAGTCAGAGCAGTAATGTCACTGCAGCAAATATTGTGGGACGTTAAAGCAGAAAAACGAAAAACTTTAGTAATAAACTTGACAGAGGACACAGACCTAAACTGGTAGTTTCTGAAATAATAAAGTTACGCTAGTCCTTGTACATGCACACAGTATCTCTCTCAATGGAGAGTCGGACAGCAGATCTGCAGCTCTGCTCTGCTCTCTGCTATGTTCACATTTTAGGGAATGTAATTAACATTTTCCTCAGTAATGATGTATGAATTTGCCCACCTGAAACCCATCTGCGCATCCCTCTGTGTGTAACAAGCAGAGTGTACATGTGCTTTGAACCCGCCCATGTAGGCACATTTTACTATCTTAATAATGGGCCTTTAAATAGCAGACAAATACTCAGTCATTCTGACTTTAGACAATGCTTTATTGGTCAATGGCACAATTACTTTGTTCTGCCCCAAAATAGCAATCCACCAGCAATGCATCTGACCACACCTCATTTTAAAACCTTTACACCCATGGGTACACATATGGGTGCAAGTGCATTTGCTACCTATGTCTGTCTGAACCTATCAATGACAGGTGTTCTGGGCTATGTGTTGCTTGGTGTGTTGCTAAGATGGGCCCTTAATCTTGCAATAAAAGACATGAGTTGATTAGTATTCAGCAGAAGATTCCTTTAGTCTTTAAAACATGATCTGATATTAAAGTTAGATCTGCATCTCTAATAACATAATAAGCATACATTGCAGGGATTTACCCCCCTTAATATATGTAGAGTATAATCCTAAGTAGCGATGCAATTTATTTTCATAATATTAATGTCTTAAATATTTCATTTGGCATATAACATACTGTATCATTCAAACTGACTTGAGCGGTTCACATAATATTTGGGAACATGAAGTGATTCCCAAATGTAGGAAACAGAGTGTTAAGCCTTTAATCACACAAATCCCTACAACATGGAAGTAAAAGCAATATGGCATAACAAAGTGGGGCTTACTTTTTTTTAAATTTATACTACAACATTTAAAATACCAGTGAGCTCCATATTACATACCAACGATCCTTATTTCAATAATATATTTAAAAATGCAACAGCAAAGGTCACCCTTGTTGTCATCGAAGTCAGATATATGTTGACAGTCTTCCTACTTGTTTGAGACTGTTAAAGAGATATTTTCACAAGTACAGACACCATGCAGGAGTGCTAAAACACCTTGATAATCTAATGTAACTCATGAGGCAGATTTTGCCACTGACTCCACGCTAAATTTGGCACCGCAGGTTGAACAGATTTCCTGAGCATCTGTTTGGTTTTTAGAGGAGGTCTACACCCTAAGACTTGTGGGAATGGGTGCGAAGAAAACGGATGGTGTGTTTGCAAAAAAGAAGCCAAAAAGTTTAGGCAGAACTGGTGTCACATTCCACCGCAACCTTCGTCTCATCGCAGACACCCTGCATGTATGACAGAGCAAAGGCACATAAATCATCTGACAGCAGTGGTCATGAGTCAGAGTTATTCTGAAGCTCCTGCTAGAGATACTCATCCGTTATGACTAAAAGACTGGAACCAGCATGTCAAATGTCCAAATGTCAGAGGGACAGGAAGAGAACAGGAAGAGGGGGAAAGTATGTGTGCACGCGTGTGTGTAGAGAGCCAGAGAGAAAGGTTGAGAATAGAGAGTGAAGAGCGAGGAAGAAATCAAGAGCAGTGACAGTCCATCTGGGAATATTTGAGCACAGAGGGAATATTGAAGCAGGTGATGGGCTGTGAAGACTGTACTGTAGCTGATGGAATATTCACCCTCCATCAAACATCAGCATCAGTTTAAATAAGTGCACTCTGTGGAGGAAATCATTTTACAGAACTATAGCTTTAGACAAAGATATTGATTCCGTTGTCTCTTTTTAAATTCAGAGTGCAACCAAAGGGAGATTCATGCATGGCTGTCAACTGTTTTGTCTTTACTGTGTATCACAGAACATCTTCAGATTCTGTAACACACTGAAACCTTAATCTAGATATAACCAATGAATTCTCACAGAAATAAGTGAAATGGACACAACCTCTTAACAATACATTATGTGGTGGTGGGCATGACGTGTTAAAATTACGAGCTGGCAGCATGAAAACAATGCCAAAGCCTATTACAAATGGTCACAATTGAAAAAAAAATTGTTAAAGTCGATAACGTTCTGAAACAGTCACATTTTGGTGAGGATTAGGGAAAGAAAGACACAGCCAGGTTAGGTTTAGTGAAAAAAAACCTTGGTTAAGTTAGGCAAAGATCGTGGTTTCAGTTGAAATAACTAATTTATGGGACATGAGTGATGTAAATTTATGTACTTTGGGTTGTTACATAAAGTGTCTATGTGTCTATATGTTGCTTAGTGGCAGGCACATGAAGCCAAAATGGTTCAACTGCAGCCTATAAAATTACCAGGATGATCAGTGCTGCTTCCACATCATTGGGCCACTAGAGACTTCTGCAGGTCGAGCCTGCTGCTTCCAGCAGTGTTCCACTAGCTTGAATTGGAATAAAATTATTTAATCTTGGGGCTATCTACTAGTACTCCAAATGTTATCAGACAGAATAAATTAAATCCTGATTGTGAAACAAGTCATTTTGCAAGAGTTGTGCTGCTCAGAAAAATTATCCAATGAGTTACAGACATCTCTTTTACAATGTTGGTCTATGGGAAAAAGTCTTGGCCCAGTGGCATCACCTGACGGACTCTGAAGTTGTAATTTACTGTTTGGTCAAAATGAAAATTGGCTTCAAAGCCCAGCGCTCTTCCTGGGGCCCTAAGACTCATAGGAATAAATGGATTTCCAACACATTCTCAACTCCAACCTCGTCACATATCAACGTTTGTTCATGGACTTTCAACATTGAAATATGACGTGCAAGATACCCTGTGTGCATTGGTTGATGACGTTCTGGGATGCTGTGTCAATTTCTGCTTGTTACATGCTATACATCACAGGAAATGTACAGTTTGCAGACAGTCTCTTTCAAAATAAACACACTACATCGGTACAACACTGTAAATTGCTGATTTTTTCCTTCAACAATAAATGCTTGATCCTGAGTTCAGGACAGAAGGACAGGGATTGACTTTGCACTCATACAGGAGGCAAACACCAGCCTTCTGGGTCAAAGTCGGTGGGCGCTGGACCCAACCAACACCCCTCCCACCCGCCCTACTTGGACTTTTGCCACCTTAACATACGTTGTTGTCCAGACACTTCTTTCCCTGATGGCCCTGTGCACCGTTAAACAATACTGGTGAACAGTCGTGTATCATGCTGACGTAAAAGGACGGCTTTTTTTGTTGGTGTCTGACACCGAAAGTTACAGCCCAAGTGCCGTTTTTTGAGGACTTTGAAGTGAAACTGTTCATTTTTGCTTTCACTCGTGACATGACTGGCAGTCTACTGGTTTAAAGTCCATGTTTTGTTTGACCCATCCACCAGCCCTCCTGCCACACATGGACTTTCATGCTCTTTATACTGATTTTGCGTGTCCAACATGACAAGGATCCTACAGTAATTGACCATGGCATTGCTGTTGTGTTGCCAGCACACATTGTGTGCCCACCACCATGTAGTGCGTTGTTAAAAGTTTGTGTCCATTTCACATATTTCTGAGACCAGAGTGCTGTAACACAAAGGGAATGCAAATGAACTGATATCAATCCTTTTAATTTGTTTTACCTTTAGACAACACATCACTATGTCCTTTCAACTGATTACCTGCTTCAAACAATCCCCTTCCTCTTACATGTTTCATTTACAACACATTAGTGTCTGATGGAACAACAGCAGTGATTGAAAGCCTTTGGAAACCCTCTCTTTCCTCAGCAGTCACACAACTTCTCATCATTCACGAGGCTGCTCACGTGAAACCACCGGGAACCCGTCTTGTGTTGCAGATGGGAGAGCTGATTGATTGTTCAGATGCACTTTGGATATATTTGGCACAGTCTACGCTTGGTTCACAATAATGAGCAGAGCAGAGCGGCGGCGGGGGGTTCATCTGTAACTTTTCACTGACTCACCTGCTTCTCTCCTCTGTATCTCTGCATTTGTATGCATGTCTGCGTGCGAAAAGGCTGTGTGTGTGTGACATGGACAGACTCGGAAGAAATGAATTCATAGGAGAGGTGAGAGTGGCTCTGAAGAAACTGAAAGAGGGCGAGAACAAGCGCTACAATATGGGCCTCGAGAGAATTGCACAGGTAGGTACATTATGTGTGTGTGTGTGTGTGTGTGTGTGTGTGTGTGTGTGTGTGTGCATGCACATACATACCAAATGGGTTTCTGTGGACATATATATCAAGATGTCTTCTATTTCCATTGTGCATGTTTGCCTTGGGGGCAATCAGTCATCAATTTGAATTGCTGCATGATAATGTGTAATAGATATGCACCTGGAGGCTCTGTGGGCTATAACCATGATGTCTCTCTTACTCATTTCAGAATAAAGAAGCTAACAATCAAACAGTGGAGCAGGGAGCGGTCGTGGCAGAGGAGGAGGTAAAACTATCATCAGCTTTATCATCACCGATCTTATTATTACCGCCTTCAACCAAAACATAGCTCACTAGAATTTCCTATTACTCTCCTTTATCTGATACATTTTCTTATCTTTTCAGCAGTTGTAATTTATTCTCTGTTTCCACCATTACTAAAGGAAAAGAAAGTTTAATTAGGCCTTTTTTAAGTAGTATATGTGTCTGAGGCATGAAGTCTAATAGACTGGTGTGAAAGGAAACCACTCACAGGGCTCTATATAACTACATGTTGTAAATTACACCAAGGCTGGCGCTCCAGTGTTTTCCTCCTCTGGTGGTCGCTATCTCGTTGCTCTTCATGATTTTAGAGACAGGGGCTAATAGCGTTTGGTCTCTGATTAGACTCAGTGTATGGTTCAACCCAGAGATTAGAAGGAGAAAGGAGCAATGTCGATATGCCGGGCTCAGATAAAGCCTTTAATTATAAGCTTTAATTTGAATACTCCTGTTGCCCATACATAACAAAAAACAATATATCCTAGACACTGACAATGCTACAACAAATCACTATTATTTTATTTCCATTTGATTCATGTTTTACATATGTTGCTTTGAGTTAAAAGTGCTTCAAGAAACTTCATTGACCCGACTGCTGGATTCCCCGCTGTATTCACTCAAGAGGGAAATGTCAGGTTGAAAACAGGTGCTGTGTCTGACACTGTTGTTTTCTGTGTCCCCAGCGTGGCCGCATCCTGGTGTCACTGTGCTATAACACAGAGAAGGGCTGTCTGCTGGTTGGGATCATACGCTGTGCCCATCTGGCTGCCATGGACTCCAATGGCTACTCTGACCCCTTCGTCAAAATGTAAGTCATGTCTGATTTTTATGAACAAACCTGGGATCCTACAAATTATGCTCAAGTTCAGCCATTCTGCATTAGCAATTCACAAGTGTGTGATGTTCTTGTAGTACCACGGAAAGACCGGGTGTGTAGATTTATTTAAACCTGGCATATTTCTCATAGAGTAGATGTGGCTGTTGTGACTTCTTTGTGACTCACCACCTCGGTTGTAGTGATTCAGGAGAAAATATATAATTTTTGCATTAATTATTTGAATAGTTGTTTCTGAGCCAACGAAAACTCAAAAGTAGGGCCACCAGGAATAGCCCCATCGGCTCACTTCACAGGGATCTAAGTTGTTTTGCATGAGCTCTCACTTCCCTAAATCTCCACAATGTAGAGAGTGAGCGCAAAGTTAGCATGACCAATAGAGTCACAGTGACCACATGTATGGGAAACAACATGAGATCAGTGACTATGAGTTTATTCACTCAGGTGTGTAAATTGGATTAAATGTGTGTGGGGGTGCCTTTTTTGTGCCTCCACACCAGCAACAGCCATAGCCAGTTATGTTTTCGAGTTGTCCATCTATCTGTCTGTCTGGCCCATTTTCATGAATGCAATATCTCAAAAACTCCTTGAGGGAATTTTCTCAATTTTGGCACAAATGTTAACTTGGACTCAACAATGAACTTATTACATTTTGGTGGTCAAAGGTCAAGGTCACCATAACCTCAAAAAAAAAAAAAAAAAAATAGTTTTGGTCATAACGTAAGAATTCATATGCTAATTATGAAAAGATTCACACATGTCAAATAGGATAAAATGATGACATTTTAGCCATTACTTAACGTCATAACTCAAGAACAGAAGGAGAGACATTTGGTCAGATATTGAATTGGTGACACTAATCTTGGGTGTCCACCTTGAAACTGTGCTGATAGATCTTCTGTGCTGGAGAGGGAAGGATGTGTGTAAGGCATACATGTTTTAGAAGTTAAAGCTTCTTTGCAGAAACATCCATAGTCACTGTCTACTATCATGGCTACATATGACTCTGGACAGACACGGATGTAAACTCTAACTGCAACAATTGACTAGTTCACAGAGGTATTCAAGCACAAGGTGGGAATTTTAGTTCCTGATTTTGATATGTTTGATATAATACTGGGATGTGCATACACTTCTACTGTATGTGAACCTGATAATTACAACAGCTTCAATGCACCTTGACACTGATTCCACAAGTCTATGTAACTCCACTGGGGTGATTTAGCACCACTCCTCCAAAAGATATTCCCTCAATTGGTGTTTCATTGATGGTGGAGGAAAGCACTGTCTAACAAGTCAGTCCATAATCTCCCATAGATGTTCAATTGGGTTGAAATGTGGAGACTGCGAAGGCCATGGCACATGATTCACATAATTTTTATACTCATCAAACCATTCAGTGACCCCTTTAGCCCTATGAATGGCAGCATTTTCATCCTGGAGGAGACCACTCCCTTCAGGAGGGAAATGTTTCATCATAGGATAAAGATGATCACTCAGAACAACTTGAATCTGCAGTGACCCTTCCCTGAAGGAGACAAATGGACCAAATCATGCCAACATAATGTCCCCCACAGCATAACAGGGCCACTGTTCCTATTAAAGGGATGGATGGATTTTCTTTTTAATTTGTCACCCGTCTTGTATGTCCTCATCGTTGGCTTCCAAGTGTGGATACTGAAGGGACACTCAGTTAAAAAACGATGGCACTGAACATGTTGTCAGTAATGTGGTATATGACTCAGGAAGGTTTTTATCCCAGAACAGCTTTATTTTGGAAATAATTGACAGTGTGTTCTGGACTGTATTACACACTAAAATAAAATGTGCTATGCTAGCACAAGTCTTTGGATTGCCACCTGAAGCTTTGTAGACCTCTGCACTCTGCACCTATTCTGTTTTCCAGATCCAAAACTTAGAAAACACTAGCAGCCGCAATAAGGGCTCAAACACAGAGGAAAAGCTGTGACTGTAGAATGCCACTGCCAATTTATTTTCACAAACAGCCAGCAAAATGTTTCTCCAAAGATGTAAGACTTTTTGTTTGTTTTCTGAGTTTTGTCCCCAGTCACATCTTTTTTTATTCAGCTGTGAGCAGCTCCTGCATTTCTACTGTTCATTGCATTGTGGGACAATAGTGTACATTAAGAGCACCCTTCGAAATCAAGCATTTAGGCCCCATCCCAATACCCCCCTTGTCTACTACCCCTTAGCCCTTGCCCACTACCCCTTGTCCCTCGAAATGAAGCAACGAGGGGTAGGGGTTGAAATCTTTCCCTAGGAATTGGGACACCACTCACTACGTCACCGCGTCGGTTACGTCCACGTAACTATTTTAAACAGGAAGCTGCGAGCCATCTACATTTCCAACCAGCATATACAATGGAGTCTCCGGTTGAGTTCATCCTACCAATCGCGTTTGCATTATTCATCATGCCTTGTTTGATGAACGACAGACGACAGGGGACTTCTGCTAGCTAGATAGCTAGCTAACCAGCTAACAGTACGAGGCAGCATAGTTATACTAGCTGGCGTGTTATCGTAATGTGAAAAATCCGACAATTTTGCAGAACAGGACAGATGACAGAAGCCAGTGCGAGCTAGCTAGCTAGCTAGCTAACAAGCAACCTGACGATGGTAACGTTAGCTATGTATGGACTTTTTTCCCTGTCTCTTGCTCGGTTGTAGCCATGGCGATGTCTACCCCTCGCTGGCAAGTCAGCATATGAAATCCCTTGCTCCAAAGGGCTAGTTTGATACCCACTGCCCCTCATTATGCCCCCTACCTCTACATGCAAAAAGGAATTGGGACACCCCTACCCCTCGCGGAACGTGCAAATGTAGGGGTAGGGCCAAGTGGTAGGGCTAAGGGGGGTATTGGGACGGGCCCTTATTCTGCATACTGACTTTTTGAGTATAGGTATTGTGTCACTCATGCACTGTGAATACAGCACATAAATCTGTGTGGACTAAGTGCATCATAACAGAACATAACCTGACAGGATGGAGTGGGCGAAGCCAGACACCCCGCTCTGACACCAGCGTGGCACAAACCCACAGACCAAATGTAAAGCCACTATAAGCCTCACACAATAAAGCTCCATTTTAGTAAGCTGATGGAGAATATAACCATGACAGTCTCCAAGACACATGATGGAGGTGTCTGATAGGCCAGCTGCCTGTAATGCCACTGAGTCTGAAAATGTCACTGCTATCCAGCAGAGACAGCAGTCCCAATTACACAGCAGAAAAAAGGTAGACATGGATCAGTTCAACGCTGAGACAGAAAATTAATTATCAACAATTTTGATAATCTGAGAATTATTATAGTCATTTTAAAGAAGAGAAGCCAGTTTCCAGTTTCTCCAATGTGAGGATTTGCTGCTTTTCTCTTTTTTTGTGTCATTATAAATAAAATATCTTTTGGTCTGTTGGTTTGATAAAACAAACAATTTGAAGATATCACCTTTAGAGATTTTATTGATGAAATGATTAACCAATTAATAAAAAAAATCTATAGATTAATCAATAATTAAAATAATTGCTAGTTGTGGGTCTAGCCATATTGCCAGTCATACTGTACTACTATTGTGCCGGACAGAGCACTTATCTCAGCCGATGCAAGGCTTTTTAAAAGTGCCTTTCAAACACAGAGCCGAGGAAAGGCAAAGTCCAACACTGCACACCTGAGCCACCCTAGTGACAGATAAAACCCACACAGCTCCATCTCTGATCTGCCTGGTTTACTTAAATACCAACAGTGCAGGGAGTAAGAGAGCTCCCACACAGGACAACCAATCCTGCAGTCTACGCCTCCTCCAGTAGTGGGAGGCTTCGAGGCAGGTTCCTGAAATTGCTTGTAAAGGAAGTTTTAACGGCTCTAAAGTAGCTTTTAGTTTCTTTAGTTTATCCAAAGAATGTGATTGGAATACATTTATTGAAGGCTGAATAATAGATAAACTACTGCTGACTTGCATTTGATCTTTTTGACCATGAGAATGTGTTTATGGCCTGAGGATGGTGGTAAAAGATGGATTAGCCTGTATGAGTCTCCTCCTGATCCTTTGTGTGCCTAATGTGCATTTAAGTGGAATATGCTTCTGCCGGCGGCACGGAAGTGAATGTACATTGGTGTCATTAAATGACTTTTGCCTGCCTGTTTTTTATATATACTTTACATTCTTGTGTGCATAATTTTAACCCAATCACCAGGAAATATCTCAGCATATAGTGGATACCTGGAAACTTTACAACAGCAATACTGTGGTTAATATAAAGATAAAAAAAACAAGCACTGGCCAGCTCACTTAGTGTGAAAGTCCATAGTTCAGGCAGTCCGAAAATGCATCCAAGATGATTTGACTGTAGTTAAAAATCCCTCAGTGATTCATGGGTAAACCAATGTGTTTTAACTAGAGGGTCTTCATCAGGGTATAAAATGCTTTGGAAAAAGGTGTGCAGTTTAAGAACTCATGTAGAGGTCATGTGAATACTGTGGTTAACTTGTGGTTAGGTTCAGGCACAAAAACACTTGAATATGGTAGGAAATGTTTTGGCTTTAAATACTCATTTTTGGGGGCAAAATTCCTGCTGGAATTGCAGCAGTGTCCCCGTAAAAGATGGCACTATCTCTGCTGGAAAAACAGTGACAGGTCACTACAAATCATGCATGTTTGGTGCCTTAAAAAGCTGCAGGAAATAACGATAACCGTTTGTTGGTCTCAAACAGTGATCTGCAGCTTGGCAGGCATCTTGTCCAGGTGTTACAGCATTCACCATCCCCTCCACCCCCTCATGACAAAGTCAGCTTCAGTGTTGGGGTTGTTGCTCAAATATAGTAATATATTACAGATCGCTCATTACTTTAAAAGAGAGTAATTCATTACTTTAACGAATTACTCCCTTCAGAAGGTAATTCATTACACTACTTGTTACATTACTTTTGCGTTGCTCTGCAGCATTGCCTGAGACGC